GATATAAGATTGATCTACTTCATATCGTCTACAGAAAAAATTAATATGGACGAAAAGCATAAATAATTTTAATAAATATTTCACAATCTTGGGCGTCTTATTGGCTAAGCAGAAGACTGAATGCCAGCGAACTCGAATGATCCAATTTACTTGCCCTTTCTAATCTCTACATGAACTTTCTTATAAGCTAAGATCACATCACAACAATCCAATTGGCTAACATATTTTTGTATACATTGCCAAAACATGGGTATTGTGATATAGAATTCCTTTTGTTAATGTAATGGATCCAAAAACTTTCTCAGCTCTGAAATAAATATAATAAAACCAATTATTTTTTGCAAATTTTTATTGTATTGTGTTTTGCTGTTGTTGCTGTTTTTACCCCCAAACATGTGCCTGATTCAACTAACAGTTATTCGGATGATGCCACTGGCTCTTAAAACATATATATATGTATACATATAATTATTATCTAAGAAGCTATCGCGATTTTAAATGGGTCTGTTGATGTTTTTTCAGGTGATCGCTGCGTACGAATCGTCGACAACATTGAGTGCATGCATAGGGCTTCTCGCCCGTATGCGTGCGATTGTGACGATTCAAGTCGTCTTGGCGCTTGAAGCGCTTCTCACATTGCCGGCAGCGAAATGGTCGATCCTGCACAAAATGAGGCATCCCATAGGTACTGGCACCGTCCTGTGGCGGCAATTGCGATAGTGTGCGTGCAATATCCTCGGCAGGCTCATACTTGACATCCGGCTTGTCACTGAGGGCAGCAGTCAATTGGTTATCAGGTAATGGGGCTATGATTTGATATTTGTCACTATGTTCGGGTCGCTCCAATTTAATTCTGAATGGCGCATGGTCATAGCCAGCTGCTTGCGCTGGCTGCTGCTGATGGTTTTGATTTTGATTTTGATTTGGGTTCGACTCACCCCCTCCATTGATTACGGCCATAAAGTGATAGCCCGAATCGGCATCAGAGGTATTCTTTTTCGCACCCTTCACCTTGGTTGTATTAGGCAACGAACGTTTCGGATTGTTACTTTTCAGCTGTCTGTCGTGAGTGGCTAAATGTTTGGTCAGATGATCGCTGCGTGAAAACTTTTTACTACAATGTAGGCATTTGAACGGCTTTTCGCCCGTATGGGTGCGCAAATGGCGATTCAGCTCGTCTGAGCGCGTGAATCCCTTCCCGCACTTGGGCTCGGTGCAGACAAATGGTTTGATGCCTGTGTGCCATGTCAAATGGGAGCGAAGGTGGGAGCTTTTTCCATAACTTTTCGTACAATTATCATAGGGGCATACGAATTTTCGTTTGGGATCCGCTGCATGGGGAGCAGCGAGCAGCTTTACTGTTGGCATTATTCGAATTTTAGAATCGTTACCATATTCTATGCCGTCCGATAGCATATTGTGGTCAGTCTCCACCGATTTATGTACATTATCGAGATCCAGTGGAGAGTCATGCTTGAACTCTCCAAATATAGTTGAGGCTCTAAGTATTACATCTGGGGCCGGAGCCAGAAGATTATTTCCGTGAGCGCCATCAACTACAGATGGAAAATTAAGTTGAGGTTTTGCTGATTCGACTGGTGTTATTGTTGATGTCGTCAGCATTTGAGGCGTGGGTGTGTTTGGAATTATTTGTGACATTACGCTTTCGTTATTTTATTCTTTTATTTTGTAGTCAAAAATGAATTTATTTTTATATCTGCAAGTAAATTGTATTATAAATATATATTTACTTATAGTTTTTATACGCAGTGTTGCAATTAAAGGCACTTAAATTTACCAGAGGTACAATTTTTTGAACATTAAAATATTCGATGGGCGTGGGCGTGGGCGTCGGCCATTCTGATTATAAACAAATGTCCATTGTTTTAGAACGAAAAATGCAATATCGTACTATTTTGATTTAAGATTTACACGTGTACTAGACGGTACGTACACATAAATAGTAAATAATATAAAAACTTCTTTCATATATTTTAATTATATCCTGTCGAAAATAAACGAAGTGCGATAAAAAAATATATCGATTACTCGTTACAGTATGAAAGAATTTAGTTGATGGAGTATCTACACTAGCTATATCTGCAGTAGCCTTTCACACTATCTACATTTTCGAGGAACGACATAAATTTGTTCGCTGTCAAAAAAATTTAAATCTGAAGTGTTCATTCATTGTTTGTTTACTTGTTTTAATAAATTTTAATTTTACTATATTATTTGTTATTGATATATGAAGCAAAATTAATAAATTTCACTTCGATACGCAATTCAATCATGGCATCGATTATTATTTTATTCATATAAATAAATGCAAATAATGTTATAGCAAATATTTAAATGTGGCTTTCTAATTTAATTGCTATTACCATATCATATATTGTACCAAATATCTGAATATTAATGTGTAAAATACATTCGCACATAAAAACACTTATCGATATATATGCCTAGTAGATTCGGATATGGATGTGCATAGTGGAAACAACTCAGGAAATGTGTGCCTCCAATAACAAATATTTTATTGTAACAATAAACAAAAGTTTACTAGAGATCAATTTTATCTAATTCTTAGCTAGAGGAATATTTGCAATACAGAAATGACATGGCACTCAGTTCTACAACTGTGAAACAGAAAGGACGTCAGCGTCGCAAGCCAACAATATGGACAAGAGAAAAGATTTATAAACTAATTGAGCTGTATCGTGCATCGGATTGTTTATGGAATCATTATTCGGAATTGTACAAAAACAAGGATTGTAGAAATAAAGCTATAGATCAGATATGTAAAACGCTGGAAATTTCCAAAATTGATTATGGTAAAAAAGTGCATAATTTGCGAAATCAATTCAATTCAGAATTAAAGAAATATGAAAGACGTTTGGAAAAAATGGGTGGTACGAAAAATGCATCACCAAAAACCTGTCGCTGGGAGCATTTTGAAACCTTAATGTTTTTGCGACCTATCATTGAGCCCCGACCGGGATATCAACCACAAATCAAGGTATTTCTTATTAATTTCAATAATCAAATAAATAATAGTTGTTTTATATTTTAACTTTCCAGAAATCTGTAAATAGCATTAATTTATCCACTAAGGAAAATACCGAAGAGGAAACTGCGGAAAGCCCGATAGAAGAAAACAAGGGATTGCCAATATTAAGTGCCGAGCAGTCAAATAGCCGCGTTGCAGAACTGGAACCGTGCGAAGTACAACCAAATTCTGAATCAAAACATTGCAGAAACTTTTCATCAATTTCCACGCATATTGAAAAGCAAAATTGCATGGAAGTTCCGGGGCCAGGAGTTCGTGATCAGTGGGATGCATTTGGCGAATTAATAGCCAATGAATTTCGGAATCTAAACTCAATGATTTCGCGGAAGAAACTTAAACGTAAAATCATGCAAATTATGCTAGAAGTTGGCGAAGAAGATGATAAAAAATATACAAATGTCAATTGAATTCGTCTCCTGTTATTATTGCTTTGTTGATTTTTATAACTAACAGTCAAATTTACTTATTCCAATATATTATATTTAGTTTTAGACATTTAAATTTATGTTTGCCAATATTTTGTATTTAATATTAGAATTAATAGAAATATTTGTAAACTTTGTGAGTTAAATTAGTATATGCCTTTTATCTTTTTACAGTCTACATTGGTATACGTTTTATTTTTGTACTAGAGGATATCTTAAATTATAATTTTTCAAATTATGATCTATAAAAACAATTGTGCTTTTCACAAAAATTC